CTCGAGGTGAATAAATGTAGTGTGGTTGTTCGTCTTGCGTGAAGTGTTCCTGAACAATACAAAAAAAAAATATCATTTTCAGACTATGTGTGAAAGCGATTATGAAATTAGGAGCTAATGGCGATGATGCTGCGCCCGAGCAACCACACCAGCCACAGAACGTCCATCGAGGTTCTATTTTGTATTACAACGTTTTTCTATCTCTCCTACCCACTCTAAATTTATAATTAATAAACTCCATCCTTTCTCTTCTTCCTCTTCCTTTTCCCCTCTTTCTTTTTTATGCGTTTTGTGCTGTGTAACAGCGTTACAAAACGCATATTGTCACGGGGTTGTCTGTGTGTGTGTCCCACATTTTGTCCCACACTTTCAACTCGGGAATCACAAAAGCTAGGCGGCTGAAATTTTGGTATAGTGTTCTCCGTCAACGGGTGACGCGGCAAATTTAAATTCAGCCTTCCCGTACCCGCGGGTAACTCGTACGGCCCCGTGAAAGTTTTTTACGAGTAAGTCAATATCTCAGGAATCACGGAGTCTAGGAGGCTGAAATTTTACAGTAATAACCCCTTGCCCACGCTCAACCTTGCCCATTCAAATTCAGCGTTCCCGCGCTCTCGGGTATCATCTACGGGTTAGTGAAAGTTTTTACGGGTAAATTGAAAGTTTTTACGGGTATCTCGGGAACCACGGGGTCTAGGAAGCTGAAATTTTCCTCCTCATCCCTGAACAGCACGGCCGTCATGCTGACGAGGTCCAGTCGCGGTGTTGAGCTAAGACGTATATGACTTAATGGACCGACAACTTAACTCAATTGTTTTTTCCTACTATTTTTTCCTCTGCTTATACACCTTCCTTACTTTAGCACCTTACATCAACATGGATGCTACAATCGGCTTGGGATCTAACTCTTCCTTAACTGCTAATGAAAAAAACGCGACAGATCACAAAAAAATGTCGTTCGGCAACAACAAATTGCGAGGCATGCTTTAAAGTGTTCCCAAAAAATTTAAATATGCAAACAATGAATATCTCTGGCTAGAAGACTGGAAGAGGACGGGGGGCCTGAAATCTTTTATTTTTCTAATTCAAGATTTTGACCCATCTATATTCTTGGGCTCTTATTGGTCTACGGTTCTTCATTTACAGTTCGACTTACTTGTCCGCGTTATACATTTAAACCAATTTCTTCTTCCACTACACTTGTTCGGCTTTCCACTGGCAGCTAACTATTCTATGTGTTAACATATGCAGTTTGTTGGGCATTGTTGGCCCACCACGGAGCGGAACACAATCGAATTTTGACAATTAAGGAATAACTGGCCAACGCACAGGCTGCCCGCGCGAAGATGCGTTTTTTGCATAGTTCCCTGCAGTTTTTGTCGCTACTGGCATCGGTTTTTTTCGGCAAATGCTTCTAGCTGAACAAATTAAGATTGGCCGCCAGAACTGGCCCCTTAAAATTTCAGCTTTCTAGCTTTCCTGGCTCCTGATTTATCACCTAATTGGATGGGGAACATCCACCTAAGATTATAGCGCGTTAGCTTCTCAGATCCCCGAGTTATGAACATACCCCAAAAAAACTTTGGCGGGCTCGTACGTGGGTACCACGCGGGAGATGGCGCCAATTCTGGGGGTTGGGTCCGGCACGTGCATGTAGATTAAGCTCCCGAAATTTCAGTTCTGCAGCTTTTATAGGCCTTGAGACGAAAGTGCGTGACAGACGCACACACAGACACAGGGGCACACAGACAACCTCTCGTCAACATGCATTTTTGTATTGCATAGCTACAAAAAACGCACAAAAATTGAAGTGCCATTTAGATTTCCCGGATAAGCAAGCCTGTATGTATATTGAGCTGGTATTCTGTCTCTGTTTCATCCCTGAGCTGTAAACACAGATGGCAGAATCAGTGTGGAATGGGATGTTAAAAATCATGCTTCGCGCTATTTAAGAAATGCTCTCAACGAGTATTATAAGCCTTACCTGTGACTGTAGATAGAAATCGACCATAGCATTTGTTAAGGGCTCAGCAAATGAACGCAAATTGGATGAGACACGTAACATAGCTCGATTGAAAGCACCATAAATTTGCACTAGCGATGTTTGCCCCGGATAATCCACATATACCACAGGGACATGGCGCAAGAAACGTAACGAAAGTGGATGTCGACCAGGATCGGTTGGCGGATTACAAGCTCCAACAAACTGGATCCGTTCAAGCGAAACCCAAGTCTGATCCGACGTGCGATAAAAGCCATTCTGAAAAAGGAAAAACGTAAATAATTCAAGAATTTTTTTACTCAAGGAATTTTGCTCAAAAAAAAACGTAAACAATTCAAAAATTTTTTTTATTCAAAAAATTTTGTTCAAAAAAAACGTAAATAAAATTTATTGGTTCTTACCATTTCGACAAGCTGGCGTAAGAATGAAATGACACGCTGTGTACCATATTTGTCCGGGGCTGGTAGGTTGATTTCGTCGCAAAATATAACCAACCATCGGGAAATTTGCACCGGCGAAAGTACCACTCCATTGGGTGTCCGACGATATTCGCAGTAATGATCGAATGTGCGCATCAGCAATTCCGGAGTGGTTGAAGACGAAAAATTGACACTGACAACATCCATATCCTTAAATATGAAAATGTCTCAGCAAATAAATGATAAATAGCTTATTTCATTTTAAGTTGGTGTAGGAAAACTGGATTTAAAACTTAAACGCATCAGGCTGGCCAGTGCGATCATGCATTCTGGTTTTTATACTATTTTGTGTTGTAGCAGTATCGCAAGCAATCCCAGAAAGCTAACTGTGCAGCTATGTGACATGTCAGTTGTAGATGTCAGCTTCCGTGACCCAACAAATGGAAAACTGCTAGTACGCGAAAAACTTCGCTAGGAGAGCTGAATAAGAAATCTTTTAGTCGCGCTGAGCAGGGGACATTCCCTTAAAATTCCAGCCTTCCAGCTTTTCTCGTTCCCGGCTCAAAAAAAATTTTTCGTGAAAAATTTCACATGTCCGTACGTGAGTAGTCGGCAGTTCTAAGGGGTTGAATTTGAAATCTTTTAATCATACATGGGTAGGGAACATTCCCCCAAAGTTTTAGCTTTCTAGCTTTTCTAGTTCTTCAATTAGCAATCTTCCCGCCAAAACTCTCATGTATCTTGACGTAAATGTACGTGACGGTTGATACCATGTTTCTGGGATTGCACTTGGCTAAGGAAAGCACTGGCAAAATTTCAGCTTCAAAGCTTGCGTGGATTGGCGAACCGGACAGACGAACACATCCACAGACACACACACAAACACATACACAAACACACACACAAACACACATACAGACACGCACACACACACACACACATACACACACAGAGTCGTTGCAATATGTATTTTTGCCCTCCTCTGCGTTACACAATATTTTTTTTTTTTTGAAAAA